TGGATCTATACTGACAGCTACTGGACTCACCCATAGGATCTATACCGGGTCGCGCAGTGTCTCTCCCATGTGATCTATACGGTCTGCACTGTTCCTCGTTCCCATATACTGGCTGCACTGGTCTCCCACTCAAGTATCTATACAGGTCTGCACTGTGTCTCTCCATACGGGTCCGGCTTCATGCTCCTGGATCCAACGGGTCCCGCGCTGGTCTCTCAAGTCTGGTCCTATGCGGTCCTTCTCTTCGGTCCGGCGCTAGGTCATCTGCTCACCGCTCTCCAGTCAGGTCAATACACAGTCTATGCGGTCTCTCCTATAGTCCGCGCTGGTTACTGTGTGCTGGTCACATCCAGTCTCGACCCTCGGTTCCTGCATTGGGCTCAGCGCTGTCCGCGCTGGATTATCCTCCCAGTGTGCAAAATCTTTGAGATTAATCTCAAAACAAGTTGAGATAAACTTTAAATAATACATAATATAATAATTTAATTAAGCTCATAACAGTTTTGATATTAATCTCATCATAGATCTTAGTTTAATCATCATATTTGCTAGTTCGAACTTTATTACATAATATTACGACTTTTAAGTCAACATTTTATAACTTATTCTCAGTCTGGGTGACTCATTATGACTCCGTGTAAAGGCCTGTTCAGGTTTACCTCTGCCGTCTGCACACGGACCCTGCTCCCTTATATGGGCATTAGTGGGCGGTTACCTATGCTAAGTACCATGCAATTGAAGCACCTGCACGCGCGCGCAACATACGAGAAAATGGGATTCATCAAGCTAGAGAACAGCAGCGAACGTAATTCAGCGTCTTACGAGCCGCGTTGAAGAATTCCCACGTGGGGACTTCTATAGAAAATCTACTTAAGGACAACATGAGAAGAAATGATGAAGTAGTTTCTTACGAATTTTATTCGTATAATGAGGGAGCCCAATAGTTCTTTATAAACAAAAGTCTTTGTTGCCAAGTAAGTGTCCCCAACATAAAGATAGTGTGATGAACAGCAGGACACTTTATCATCTACAATACATGTATGGACATTTTCTTCTTGGAGTGCTTTATATTCTTCATGTTTTTAAACTGTTGAATTCTCTGACACAGAGTTTGGTGATTTCAATGGTTTGTTAATTTGCTCTGGGGAATTCAACAGCATCAAGAGAATTTAAGGATTACGTGAAAAGTACAGATCCAATGATAACTGAACCGACGAGGATGACACATGGTGCGACTGTTGGTCATATTTCTACAAATGTAAATAATCAGTGGTGTCCTCATGACAGATGTGAGTGATCCTATTTTTATAATTTATGAAAGAAAATGTTACTAGTTCAAACTGAAAATCCATAACGTTCACTGATATATGTAAGGGATACCGTATATACGTACTTACATATTTAGTCCGACGCGCTTCGCCCTGTCGGTACTTTTGACCTGCGTAATATACGTTATCTGCTTATTATACGGCTTTATACCAACAACATAAACTTCAGTCCACTTTTAGGAATGCCGAAAGGTTTATATAATGACAGAAAATAAAATAGTTCCCAAAGGCTTTCCCGTGGCTATGCTAGCAACAGTTAGGCTAGCAACAGTTAGGCTAGCAATAGTTAGGCTAGCAACAGTTAGGCTAGCAACTTCCAAACTAGAACTCTCTGGAACTGCATGAAAACTGAACAAAGAATCCTGAACATCGGCGGTGAGTGACCCAAACATAAACTTAACCTAAATCCATAATTCCATCCTCTGCAAATGTTCCTAAAATGTGCCGGTATCTACTTCCGGCTTTTTCAGGATCACCTTTTCTCGCATTACATCAGTGTCTTTGTCATGAAAACGTAAACGGAAAATTCTGAAAACTTCCGTGCACTTGTATTAAGAATGTATGTGTATAAGTATTCTCCGATTAACATTTAATTGCGTTGATTGATTGGTATTTGCGTTTATTGAGCGTGGCTAGCTCCGGAGTGGCCGGAACTACTTGCGGAGTTATCCACGCATCTGAAAGACAAGCAGAGAGTGCGTTGCCAAAGGGCAGCGGTCATTATTGTTTTGAGAGGTCCGTTATAAAAAATAATGACCATGAGGCGCTGTAAGTTCTCAGTCTGTGTCTTTACCAATGCTTTTTAGATATTTGTGATGTTCATGTCCCACTTGGTTTTCCTGGTCCTGTTTTTACCTTTCTGGTCTGTAACCAAGTTGTCGATCTCTTCTTGACTGTTGGAGTTGTGTTTTCGTCGTTATTTGCTGTTATTACTTCCTCTGGCTCTTCCAACTCGTCCTGATGATAGAATTCACTGAGAATGCTCCCAGTCGCTCATTATTTTTCATTTTACCGAGGAAAGATATGAAATCTGATACGCGCTGCGGACCGATTGTCATGGTAACGGTCCGAGATGGGAAAATATCCGACCCCAAACCAGCCAATCAGAGCGCACGATCCAAGTCATATAAATATATATATTAACAGACTTATATAACAAAAACTGCATTGTATCCAAACCAAGAATAATTCTGCTTATAATCCAAGGAGGACGAATGGACTGAAAAATGCATGAAGAAAAAAAAACATTTGTACAGATTATTTCTAAAGAACTAAAGACGCTGAAGTTAAATATAAGAAGTATTAAAGAAAAGTGGACTGGAATCTTAAGAAGACAAAAGAAAGATGACGAGACCAAATTATGAGACTGGAGAACGACACATATGTGAGTCTGACACTGATGAAGCGAATTACAGATGTCATTATTGAACCTTTTAACTATATTTGTAATTTATCATTCGCTTCGGGGATATTTCCAGACAGCATGAAAATAAATAAGTAATTCCACTTTATTAAAAAAAATACAAAGCCGAATTTTCCAATTATAGACCAATATCACTACTTCCACAACTTTCAAAAATTCTGGAGAAGCCATTTGCAATTAGACTAAATCGATTTTTAAATGAATTTGGTCCTAATCCCTCAGAGGCTACAGCGTTAATGGAACTAACTGAAGAGATCCCCGATGCTCTGGACAAAAAGCACTGTTTAGTATTTTTATAGATCTTCAAAAAGCGTTTGAAACATTAAACCACCAGATATTGTTGCATAAATTATATAAGTATGGCCTTAGACACGGCAATGGGTTACCAGCTATTTAATAAACAGAAAAATAATTGTTGATATTGACAATATAAGGTCTGAGACTTGCTGTATAACTTGCGGGGTGCCCCAGGGATCGATGCTGGGACCTCTACTGTTGTTGTATGTAAATGATATTGTGTCTGTCTCTCACTTACTTTCATTCTTTGCAGATGACGTCTATACAGAGAAAAGATGTTCTTCAAACCGTAGAGAAGGAAATCCAGAAAAAAGGCAGTGGTTCAATGCCGATAAATTGTCCCTAAATGTTAGAAAAACTAACTTCATGATGTTTTGTAGTAAACTAAAATATGTGGAGGAGTCATTGTTTATTCATGGATTAGAAATTAAAAGGTTCATGAAGTTTTTAGGAGTTATGATCGATGAACATTTGACACAGAAATCACATATTGATAATGTCAAACTAAAGGTCTCCCAAATGATATCTGTGCTGCACAAAGTGTATGTACTCTGCTCTACTCTACTCTACTGGGCCAGGACCAAACCAGGACCAAGAGGGACAACTGTAAGGTCCTGGTACTGGTTACACAGGACCAGGACTTTACTCTCTCTGTTTTCACTGTAGCACTTTACTCTCTCTGTTTTCACTGTAGCACTTTACTCTCTCTGTTTTCACTGTAGCACTTTACTACTCTCTCTGTTTTCACTGTAGCACTTTACTCTCTGTGTTTTCACTGTAGCACTTTACTCTCTGTGTTTTCACTGTAGCACTTTACTCTCTGTGTTTTCACTGTAGCACTTTACCCTCTCTGTTTTCACTGTAGCACTTTACTCTCTGTGTTTTCACTGTAGCACTTTACTCTCTCTGTTTTCACTGTAGCACTTTACTCTCTGTGTTTTCACTGTAGCACTTTACTCTCTCTGTTTTCACTGTAGCACTTTACTCTCTCTGTTTTCACTGTAGCACTTTACTCTCTCTGTTTTCACTGTAGCACTTTACTCTCTGTGTTTTCACTGTAGCACTTTACTCTCTGTGTTTTCACTGTAGCACTTTACTCTCTGTGTTTTCACTGTAGCACTTTACTCTCTGTGTTTTCACTGTAGCACTTTACTCTCTGTGTTTTCACTGTAGCACTTTACTCTCTGTGTTGCAAAAAATTCAGATGTATAGTGAGCACTATACATCCAAACACTAACTCAGTACAAGACACATGTAAGTATGTACTCTATGTACTGTATGTATGTGTGTGTGTGTGTGTGTGTGTGTCTGTGTGTGTGTCTCCCTGTGTGTGTGTGTGTGTGTGTGTGTGTGTGTGTGTGTGTGTGTGTGTGTGTGTGTGTGTGTGTGTGTGTGTGTGTGTGTGTGTGTGTGTGTGCACTTGTTTTCAACTCCTGGTGGGTTCCATAACCTGAGATTCCACTCACGTCATGGGGACTGGTTTTACGTGGTGGGGCCCGAACACCGGACCCCACTGGTCCAAGCTTAATAATCAATGGGTAATGCTTTTCTAACGGTCCTTATGCAGTCTCTGTAAAAATATGGAAAGGACCCCTGGAGGTTTACTTTCCTGAAAAAAGTGTGTTATGTGTCGGAACCCTGGTGGTGGGTTGCGGGATATCAAGGAGGGGCACACTGGGGCAATTTCAGTCCAGCAGGCTGGAGCCAATCATGGAGCAGCACAACAGAGGCTGGAGCCAATCATGGAGCAGCACAACAGAGGACCATCTGGAGCAGCACACAGGTGGCCATGGAGCAGCACAACAGAGGCTGGAGCCAATCATGGAGCAGCACAACAGAGGCTGGAGCCAATCATGGAGCAGCACAACAGAGGCTGGAGCCAATCATGGAGCAGCACAACAGAGGAAATCAGGTGTCAGGCTAGAAAAAGGTGCAAGTGTGTGGTTCATTAGGCTGCAAGAAATCACAGAGCAGCACACTGAAGCGCACGCTTACAAACCACTGGTAAGTGCTGACTACAAGTCATGACTTCAAATTGTTATATAGAATGATTACAAATTATTTGTTGTTTGTGCAGCTTAGTCAAGAGTCCCTAATTGATGAAGTCGACTCAGATTCTGACGATTTAACTGTCAAGAAGAAACCTGTAAAAAAGTATGGAAAAAGAAAAATCAAAAACACTTTTCTTCAAGACTCGGAAAGTGACGAACCAAAGGCAAATAAGATTGTTATCATGCAGCTGCAAAAGAAGAAAAATGGGGGGAGAGTTTACAGCAAGAGACACTTCTGCCTCTACTGTTCAATGTCCTGCCACAAAATGTCCCGTCATTTGACTAGAAAACATGGAAATGAAAGTGACGTAGCCAGAGCATTGGCTCTACCTGTGAAATCTAAAGCACGTAAACTTCACTTTGATTTGATCAGGAATAGTGGAAACCGTGAGCACAATGTTGAGGTTTTAAAGGCCGGCATTGGAACTTTAGTCCCAGCTAAACAGCCAAATTCCCCAGTTAAATCCAGTGAGTTTTTGCACTGTATAGACTGTGGGGCATTGCTTAAGCGAAAGTGGCTGTGGAGGCATGTGGCCAGGTGCCGGCTTTCACAGAAAGATGCCCAGGCTAAACCAGGCTAAACCAGGTAGAAGTAGGGTCCAGTCCCTCTGCTCCCTAGCCCAGCCTGTACCGGAGGGCATCAGCAAAAAGCTGTGGTCTTTAATTTGGGCAATGCATCAGGATGAGGTCACGGGTGTTGTCAAAGCAGAAAAGGGGATTCTGAGACTCGGAGAGCACCTGTACTTAAAACACGGGCATGATAAGACTAAGCATGATTACATTAGGCAGAAAATGAGAGAAGTCGGTAGGTTAATTAACGAAGCAAAAACCGCAGGGAAACTGAAAACAATGAAGGATTTCTTTATTCCTTCCAACTTTAACCATGTGATTGATGCAGTCAGGTCTGTGGCTGGATATGATGAGGAAACAAATCAATACAAGACTCCATCCTTGGCCCTCAAACTCGGCCATAGCCTCAGAAGCTAGCAGATATTCTTGAATGTGACTCAAAAATGGAGCATTGTGTTGATGAACTATTTATTAAAAACCTCCAACGAAGCCGGCTGCTTTTTGAGAAGAGGTGGGACGTCTGTGTTTCTTCTGCTGCCCTACAGACCCTCCGGCAAGCCAAGTGGAACACTCCGGACCTGCTCCCTCTGACTGAGGACGTTAGAGCCATGCATGCACATATTGAGGTATGTCGACCTGAATATGTGCAAACCCTAATAAGTGAGCCAACGTCTAAGCATTGGTCTAAACTGGCAGTTTTGACTCTTTGTGAGGTCATTATTTTCAATCGAAGAAGGGAAGGTGAGGTTTCAAAGATGCCACTGACAGCCTTTACCTTAAGAAGTAAGACTGGGATCCATTCTGACATTGCTCTGGGACTGTCCCAACTTGAGAAAAAGCTGTGTCAGCATTTTCAACGCATTGAAATTAAAGGGAAAAGAAGTGGGAAAGTGGTGGTTCTTTTGACTCCTGAAATGATTGCTTGGATGGAGGTGCTGGTGGAGAACAGAAGGGCCTGTTCCATCTCTGACCATAACCCATACTTCTTCTCCCGCCCGGGCGCAGACACCCACATCAGGGGATCAGACTCCCTACGCCAGGTAGCCAAAGAATGTGGTGCGGTGCATCCAGAGATGCTATCCTCAACCACACTTAGAAAGCACATAGCTACTATGTCTACAGTTCTCAATATGAAAGAGAATGAAATGGACATACTTGCCAACTTCCTCGGCCATGACATTCGCATCCACAGGCAATATTACAGACTACCAGAGGGGACACTGGAGCTGGCCAAAATCAGCAAAGTGTTGATGGCCATGGAGCAGGGAAGAGTGACGGAATTCGAAGGAAAGAGCCTCGACCAGATACAAATTGAGCCTGAAGGTAATTCTTGATATTATTAAAATATGTATAATTTTTTTTCCCCTAAAGGCCACTTGTATTTTTATTTTCTGTGCGACAGGGAGAGCAGTAGAGATCCTCTCACAAACGGACGGGCTAAAAGAAACTTCAAGCGGAGAACCTTCAACCATTCATCCAGATGCACCCCATGGTAGTGGCAGTGCCCCTTCTGGTAAGTGTACCAGGTGGGGGATTACAGCCAGGCTGCTTGGTCCTAACCCTGGGAGTGTATATTGCTAATATATTTTTATTTCTCTCCCTAGAACGTTAGAGAAAGCCATGGTCTGCATCTGAGGTGAAGGCTGTGGAGAAGACCATGACACCTTTCATACAGACTGGAAAAGTCCCTGGGAAGTCTCACTGCCTGGCCTGGCCTGGCCTGGCCTGCATTAATGCCTCACCAGATGACCTTAGACATCGGACATGGAGTGGCATTAAATTCTATGTCAAAATAAATCATGAATCTAAATAAACTTAGAGTTTTTTGTTTTCTATTGACTGTTTTGTATTACTTAAAGTAGTCCCAGTAAAAAAAGATTATGTCTATGGGTCCCATTCTGAACGGCCCTGTCAAAGGGACCCACCAGGTAACAAAAACGTGTGTGTGTGTGTGTCTGTGTGTGTGTGTGTGTGTGTGTGTGTGTGTGTGTGTGTGTGTTTGTGTGTATTTCACATATTTACTGCATTGTGCTTTTTGCAATTCTACAATAACAAAAATACATTCACTTATTTAGAACAAATATCATTATGGTAGAACTGTGACAAATGTAAACAATACAACATACATTATTCCTGGACTGCCATGCCTTCCTGTTTTCATCTCCATCACAGCAGAGAGATTTTCAGGAAAAAATGATAAAGGAACGTGAAAGTAACCGATACATGTCCAAAAGCATCTCTCTCTCTCTCTCTCTCAGCAGCGTCAACAGCTCAGAGCGCGGATGTGTGGCGCCCTCTGGTGGAACCTGAGAGGATTAGTATACAGTATATGTAAAGAAAAGACAGATAGACGAGACCAGAGAGAGACCAGAGAGAGACCAGAGAGACCAGAGAGAGACCAGAGAGAGACCAGAGAGACCAGAGACAGACCAGAGAGAGACCAGGGAGAGAGACCAGAGAGAGACCAGAGAGAGACCAGAGAGAGAGACCAGAGAGAGACCAGAGAGAGACCAGAGAGAGAGACCAGAGAGAGACCAGAGAGAGACCAGAGAGAGACCAGAGAGACCAGAGAGACCAGAGAGAGACCAGAGAGAGACCAGAGAGAGACCAGAGAGAGACCAGAGAGAGACCAGAGAGAGACCAGAGAGAGAGACCAGAGAGACCAGAGAGACCAGAGAGAGAGACCAAAGAGAGACTAGAGAGAGAGACCAGAAAATTATAAAATATCATAAATAAATCTGTTCAGAGGTGTTTAATCAAGAGAATCTTTAATGTCAATAAATAATATGAAAACAAACTTAATCATGATTTATATTGAAAAATCGAAATAGAACAGAAATGTAAAAAAGGTGAAGTATAAAATCATTTGTTTAAAACTGTGTCTCTTTTATTATTTTATTATTTGATTATTTAAAGTAAACAAATCTGCTTCTGTAAAAGGAACGAATAGCAGTCATGAAATAGATTTGAATTCAGTCCTGGGTCTACAGCCTCAGTCCTGGGTCTACAGCCTCAGTCCTGGGTCTACAGCCTCAGTCCTGGGTCTACAGCCTCAGTCCTGGATCTACAGCCTCAGTCCTGGGTCTACAGCCTCAGTCCTGGGTCTACAGCCTCAGTCCTGGGTCTACAGCCTCAGTCCTGGATCTACAGCCTCAGTCCTGGATCTACAGCCTCAGTCCTGGATCTACAGTGTCAGTCCTGGATCTACAGTCTCAATCCTGGGTCTACAGTCTCGGTCCTGGGTCTACAGCCTCAGTCCTGGATCTACAGCCTCAGTCTTGGGTCTACAGCCTCAGTCCTGGATCTACAGCCTCAGTCCTGGGTCTACAGCCTCAGTCCTGGATCTACAGCCTCAGTCCTGGGTCTACAGCCTCAGTCTTGGATCTACAGCCTCAGTCCTGGGTCTAGGACGAGCCGATTAAATTAACACTGAAGACTGTAGGGAAATGCAATACCGCCCAGAAAGACCAGAAAGAGACCAGAGAGAGAGAGACCAGAGAGAGAGACCAGAGAGAGACCTCTAGTCCATGTGGATCCTCTCCCATAATCCCACAGGTTGATGGTACATCCAGGTTCTTTAAATAATCCCGAGATTCTCATAAATAACATCGTCCTCCACCGTCTTTGCCTCTCGCCGCGGTTTGGGCTGAGGCGATGGCGAGCGCTTGTTGGGTTTTCGCACCTGAGCGTAAAGGTGAGCAAACTGATCCTCTCTCGCCTCCTCTCTCGCCTCCTCTCTCACCTCCTCTCTCACCTCCTCTCTCACCTCCTCTCTCACCTCCTCTCTCACCTCCTCTCTCACCTCCTCTCTCACTGGCTCACTGTAAATGTACTCGTTCTTATACTCCGTCTCCGTTTGGATTCTATCGAAGACCTCTGAGTAGACCGGCTGCAGCTGGTCTCTCTCTCTCTGGTCTCTCTCTCTCTGGTCTCTCTCCTGTGTCTCGGGCGGCGGCCTCAGCGGCAGGATGCTCGCCGGGTCCACGTACAGCGCCATCCCTGCGTCCGGAGACCTCAGACACTCCTTCGGGTCGGCGTACACGTTCTCTGACATCTTTCTCGCCGTTTGGGGCGGGATCAGCTCGGGCAGAGACGGCAGCGGCATGAGGGTGATCGGCGCGGGCTGTGACATCACTGTGGGCTCTTTCTCCTCCATTTTGAGTTTTTTTTCCAAGATGGCCGACACTCTGGTGACGTCCAGCTGGTCTTCCTCCCTTTTCAGTGGTTTTTCCAAGATGGCCGACACACTGGTGGGGTGGCGGCCATCTTGGTGCGGTCTGGGGGAAGGGGAGCGTCTGGTTGGAGGGCTGGATTTGCTGTCGGTCTCCAGAGCAGAGGGGCTGGTCTTGCGTTTGATGGTGGACTGGATCAGACAGAAGAGGGATTCGGCCCGTGGCGTCTCGAAGATGAAGGTTCCAGGACCACAGTCACAACGACGACCCGTTTCTATGGACAACGAGCCCTAGAAACGAACGACACAAGAGTCTGAGTTAGAAGGAAGTGTTAGGATTCAGAATAAAGCCTCAGTCCTGGGTCTACAGCCTCAGTCCTGGGTCTACAGACGCAGTCTTGGGTCTACAGCCTCAGTCTTGGGTCTTTAGCCTCAGTCTTGGGTCTTTAGCCTCAGTCCTGGGTCTACAGCCTCAGTCCTGGGTCTACAGCCTCAGTCCTGGATCTACAGCCTCAGTCCTGGGTCTACAGCCTCAGTCCTGGGTCTACAGCCTCAGTCCTGGGTCTACCTGGTCCTTGCCGTATCTCCTCAGCAGCGCGTAGGGCCACTCCTGCAAGGTGTTCTTCTGGTCTCTGAGACGCAGCGCCTCAGAGTCCACGCAGAGGCGGAGCTCCCCCTTCAGGCCACAGCGCAGCGCTGCATCTGTGCTCTGCACCCGCACCACAAACTCCGACACTGCTCACAACAGAGAGTCTGGATTAAGATTAGGATTTTAACAAGGATTAGAAAGTTAAATGATTCCAGAAATATGAACGAGTGGACTTCATCTGGTCTCTCTCTGGTCTCACTCTCTGGTCTTTCTTTGGTCTCTCTCTGGTCTCTTTCTGGTCTCCCTCTGGTCTCTCTCTGGTCTCTCTCTCTAGTCTCTTAGTAGTCTCTCCCTGGTCTCACTCTGGTCTCTCTCTGAAGGTTCTATTACTACTTTATCATCTCACCATTGTCAGAGATAGTGATGGTGTGACGCTTCTCTGATCAGCTGTTACCAGATGTGGTCAGTTTGACAGATGGTACCGATACCTCAGACTGACCACGCCCCCTCAGACTGACCACGCCCCCTGTGGGCTCTGGAGAAGTGAGTCCCAGTGTGAGTCAAGGTGAAGGCCCCCTCGTCTCGGTTGATGGTCCGTACGTTCTTCCTTTTCTACAATTGTTGTCTTTGTCATGGACCACAGTCCTGGGTCTACAGCCTCAGTCCTGGGTCTACAGCCTCAGTCCTGGGTCTACAGCCTCAGTCCTGGGTCTACAGCCTCAGTCCTGGGTCTACAGCCTCAGTCCTGGGTCTGCAGCCTCAGTCCTGGGTCTACAGCCTCAGTCCTGGGTCTACAGCCTCAGTCCTGGGTCTACAGCCTCAGTCCTGGGGTCTACAGCCTCAGTCCTGGGTCTACAGCCTCAGTCCTGGGTCTACAGCCTCAGTCCTGGGTCTACAGTCGTACCGTCGTCTGCGGAGGCGTAGATCACGTTCTCCTCCATCTGAGGCGTTGCTTCTGGAACTCTGGGTTTCTGTAATAATTCAACGGAACAGAATAATTTGATTAAAATGGTCTTTTGTTCCATCCCTCATATCCCCACATGTGTGTCAGAGTGTGACATCACCTCAGTGTCTTGATGCAGAAGAAGCATGTATAAGGGATAATAATAATAATTAAAGCCGCAAGCGGCATCTAACGGCCCTCGCCGCACCGCGCACCGAGATGGCGCTGACGCGCCATTTTCCCACTGCCCTGATGGGAGCGACACTGTGTAATTTTACTTTCTATGATTAGTGATTGTGTTTCTCTATTCAAAAGATATACCTCATTTTCCCCATGTAACACTTGTATCTGTCTGTAGGGGGCGCTAATGCTGATATTTCATGATTCATACTTTCAGTTTACCCAAACCCGAGAGTTGAACAATCAATTCAAATTTTGTGCAAATCGGACTTTGTATGTGCAAATGGTGGCATTTAATGTTGTACAACAGCGCCCCCTACAATTTAATTTTTTTAGTGTTATACCAAAGAACACCAAACTAATACACTTTATGCCTGAAAAAAACTTGTGGCAAAGTTTGGTGAGTTTTCGTGTTTGTTCAGTGGGTCAAATATGAGATCAAACAACAGAAAACCTAAATACCTGTATCCCCATGTAAACCTTTACTCAGCCTGTAGGGGGCGCTAATGGGCCAATGTCATTGTTCACACTGTCATGTGACCTAGGCCCAGGAGTTGAACAACCGAGTCAAGTTTAGTTCAAATCAGAGTTTGTAAATGTGCTCCTGTTTGCACATACAATCTGTGAGTGTGTCCATACAGTCTCCATTGGATAACATGAGATTTTCACACCTCTCTATGAAAATGACCACACTTTGGGGGTCTGTCACGCTCAGACCGTTTGACTAATTAAAACTCTATATGCAACTATTGATGGTCCATGTGTGGAGACCATGTGGAGCGATTTTCAGACAAATTAGTGAAAGGGCCGAGGCTGGTTTGATTTTTGAGCAAGGTGTACTTTTCAGAGATTTAACGATTTTCTCATAGACACAGACAGGGGAGTGTTGGTCGTCGCCACGGCAACAGGGTAAAAAAAAATCATATGTTGTCATTGACTTTTTTAAACCAGATGACAAAACAGAATTATGTGCAAAATTTCCAACAATTTGAAAAAACTAAATTTATTTAGGCCCATGTAAAACTTTGACATAGTCTGTAGGGGGCGCTAATGAGCCAATTTCAATATTTCCACTTTCAAATGACCTAGACCCTGGAGATGAACAATGCATTAAAATTTGGTGCAAATCCGGCTTTGTTTGTGCAAACAGGAGCAAATTTACTTTTGTCAAAAATCCCCCAAAAAATGTCACATTTTGCCGCTCCGCTGCTCGGACAAAGTTTAACTGATCCAAATTCTATATTCAATAATAGATGGGACATGGGTTTAGACCGTGTGGAGCAATTTTGAGACTAATCGGTGAAACGGCCGAGGAGGAGATAATTTCCAGCCGACATGTGTGAAAAAGATCAATTTTCATTTTTCCATTTTCCAATTAAATTAATGAGCTTCCTGTTTGTCAGGGGGCGGAGCCATAATTATTTTTTTTTCATGTCTTGACCTGAGGAACATGTGTACCGAGTTTTGTGGCTTTACGACAAACTTGACCTCAGACCCCCTCCCATAGGCGCAATGTAAACTGACTTTTGTAGGGGGCGCTGTTCTGGTATTTTTTTAGTCCCATAAAAATAAACTATAATAAAAATTAATTTTTCGCCGGTTCTGAATTTTGGGCAAAATTTCACAACTTTTCATCAATGTTCAGGGGGTCAAATTAAGGTTCAAAGCGCAGAAGAAAAAAGAAATAAATAAATAAATAAATAAATAAACCAAGGAATTCTTTTTAAAAAACTTTGAGCAAAAACAATATAGGTTTCCATAGTAACCTATAATACAAATGATACGTCGTTTTAAAGCGAACGACCAGACGAACGCAACTATTGGGTTCTCGGTGATTGACGAGCGCTGACGCGCTCGTCAATCACCTCGCCATCATGAGGTCACCCACCCCCCCCATAGAACCCCATTCATTACACTGTGTACTACAGCAGGAGCAAAGCCATTCAGTGCCTCCGGCACTGTTTTGTCAGTGTCTGGGCACGCGCCGTCGGGCTTGGGGGACGAATGTCCGGGCTTTGCCCGGACATTCGTCCGTAAAACAGTTGAAGGAACCCCCCTTTAATAGGACTTCAATCATTTCACTGTGTACTAGAGCAGGAACAAAGCCATTCCGTGCCTCCGGCACGGATTTATCAGTGCTTGGGCACGTGCCGTCGCGTGCAGGTCACAATCTCCGGGCTGCGCCCGGAGATTGTGACTTAAAACAGTTCAGGAACAGGAAAAGCAATAGGCCCTTACCCCGGTTGGGGCTCCGGCCTAATAATAATAATAATGTATAGTAGAAGCATGTATAAGGGATAATAATAATAATAATAATAATAATGTATAGTAAGTTATTACCTTCAGGGCAAAGCGGATCCTGAGTTCTTATTTTACTACAATGTCCTGCGTTCTTTTCAATATCCGCTTATTATACGACTTAAACTGAACACACAAAATACACTTCAGTCACTTTTAGGAATGTCCAAAGGTTTATTTAATGACCGCAAAGATAAGATAAAAATTCCTTTATTCGTCCCACAGTGGGGAAATGTCGATGTTGCAGCGCACAGACAGGACAGTAGTAAGAACACACAGGGAGCACACAATATATACACTATATACAAATAAGTAGTAGCTATGTTTCTTAGCTAACATAACTAGCTGTAGATGCTGAAAATACTTCAATACCAGTCAAAAAAATATATATGTAGTAGTGCAGTGATATACTGTTCAGTTAAATAGTGCAGGATAATAAGTATATCAGTAAAGTTAGGCTAGTAACAGCTAAGCTAGTAACAGTTAGGCTAGTAACAGTTAGGCTAGTAACAGTTAGGCTAATAACAGTTAGGCTAGTAACAGCTAAGCTAGTAACAGCTAGGCTAGTAACAGTTAGGCTAGTAACAGCTAAGCTAGTAACAGTTAGGCTAGTAACAGTTAGGCTAGTAACAGTTAGGCTAATAACAGTTAGGCTAGTAACAGCTAAGCTAGTAACAGCTAGGCTAGTAACAGTTAGGCTAGTAACAGCTAAGCTAGTAACAGTTAGGCTAGTAACAGTTAGGCTAGTAACAGTTAGGCTAGTAACAGTTAGGCTAGTAACAGCTAAGCTAGTAACAGCTAGGCTAGTAACAGTTAGGCTAGTAACAGCTAAGCTAGTAACAGTTAGGCTAGTAACAGCTAGGCTAGTAACAGTTAGGCTAGTAACAGTTAGGCTAGTAACAGTTAGGCTAGTAACAGTTAGGCTAGTAACAGTTAGGCTAATAACAGTTAGGCTAGTAACAGCTAGGCTAGTAACAGTTAGGCTAATAACAGTTAGGCTAGTAACAGCTAGGCTAGTAACAGTTAGGCTAGTAACAGTTAGGCTAGTAACAGTTAGGCTAGTAACAGTTAGGCTAGTAACAGCTAGGCTAGTAACAGTTAGGCTAGTAACAGTTAGGCGAGTAACAGTTAGGCTAGTAACAGTTAGGCT